GAGAGAGAGAGGGATAACCGCCGGATAGCCGAAAATTTCGCACAGTCGATGCGCGCGCGATTAAGCGGACAAGGCGGAAAACGTCGCGTCGCGGCGCATCACGTAATTATCCGGGGATTTCTCGTTGCGGCATACTGACAGCTCGAAGCCTGGACCGGTTGCCTGCGTAAACGGTATTAATCACAATGCGCGTATTTGCACGCACGTCGCGCCGCTGCCGTGTAGTTATAGTTGCCTCTCCGTAGGTGTTTGTTCCACGCGCCCGTCCGCGCCGCTGACAGTTCGTTTGAACGCAATTAGCGCGCCGCTCGCGACGGATAAGAGAACGAGAGAACGCGCGCGTTCTATCGTCCGCGTCGATCGCCGAGTCGAATTAACCGTTTCGCCGCGCTCGTCGCGGCGCGATAGACGAGAGGAGCCCCGATCGTGATTTGACAGCCGATCTCGCGCCGAGATATGCGGATTTTTTTTTCTCAACTCGCGCCAATCCGCAATCCAGTATAACAGCGATACCCGGTTTTTCGTGCGATGTTTCGCGCGCACAATTGCGAGTGTACCTCCTCATTATCGAGTTTTTCTTCACTCAGATGCGATGATTAGACGTATTGTAATTCAATGATTGGCCAGACGTGCTAAATCGGACGTGCTAGAATGTAATGCGCTAAGGCGTGATGATGCATGATTATTGTCAGCATCGCGTGCGTCCGCAAATATGATTTAATATATAAGAAAAAAAAACAAAAAAAAACAAAAAAAAACTGAGAAATTTTTAATTGTTCAAACATCCATAAGAAATGTTTTATTAATATAAACTCATGTTTCGCATAAATTCGATTAAAAAAAATTTAAGCATTTATCTTGAATCTTTTTGCCGATAACATCGATAAAACATTAACGAGCGCATTGAACCGAGACGAATCGTTCATATTAAGCTAAAGTGCTGTACTAAATGAATAGGATAATCTCGATCGTGCCATTCCCGTGATACGACTCGACGTCGACGTCGGCGGTAATCGCGCGCGGTTATCAAAGCGGCAAGAAGTGAAATATCTTACGACGCGTTTCGACATGTCCGTCGTTTTACGTCCGTCGTCGGTGTACTTCTTTGTGGACGCGGTCTCGGCAGCCACGAAACCATGACCGTAAATGTAAATGGGCGACGTCATCTCGGCTGGCACGGAGGAAAAGAGGGATAAGACGAAGTCGCTCTTGAGGAGCGAGCGAGAAACGAGCCCCGAGCGTGGTGGAAAGAGAGGAAGAGAGAAAGGAAGCAGAAAGAGTCGATCGTAACGACGAGGCTCAACTTTATGAATATTATTTTCCAGCAGATGTCCTGGACGATAGGACGTCGTCGCCGTCGTCGTCGTCGTAATTAATGACGTCGCGAGTGCGACGGGGAGGGTGACTCCAAGTCCGGGACTGGTTGAAGAGAGACGGGGTACGGAGTGGGGGTAGGGGGGAATGAGGAGGGGAAGGGATGGTTATGGAGACGCGGAGGCAAGCAGCGCGTAAGGGGATGCCTGACGATAAGGAACCCGTAGGAAGGCAGCGAGAAACTGATGGCGGATGGTAGTTGGACGACGACAGACAATGCGCCTGAATTATGCCGGAATGACTGGGTAGTTTTAAAGCCAGGAAGCCGACATTAGCGCATTGATACCGAACATTCTGACTGCGGGGAACCATTAATATTACTTACTTCATAACGCGCGAGCCGCCGCAGCAGCGCGCCGAGGGTCGACGGGAGCGCGATGGAAGCCGCGTGTCTCTCGCAACTCCGCCTTCATCCGCTCGTAACGACTGCTTATCCGCCATATATATCCAAAATTCGGTTCTATAGGTATCACTCATGATGAAGAAAATGATCGATGAATGCAATTATGCGATGTTGTCTATGTGAAAATTTGCGACTCCGCGGATGTTACTCCTCCTTTCATCGCGAATGAGTAAAATAAAAAGTTATTATACGGATAAAAAATATTCTACATAGTCTCCCGATCCTCGATCCAAATCACCATCGTTCAATATAGACCATCCGAAGAAACTTATCGTAAAGCGAGATTAATGATATTTAATTGACCGAACTAGTGGATAGACTTAAGGGGAAATCGAAGTTTTCCTCCGAGCAAGTAGATTAAATGGATTAATGGGAACAAATCATCGGGATTAAAACGCGGCGACAAAAGGGGTGAGAGAAGGCGAAATAAACGGCGGAGAAGGAGTAACGCAGTCTTCGGTCACAGGCTGCGTTCCGTGAACGTTGTAAAATCAAAAGGACAAACAATTAATAAAGCCGGCGCCGTCGATTAATCAGAATTTAACTCGCAGTTAAATACTCGAGGATCGCCCTCGGTTGCGCGGCTGCTGGCGCGTATCTCGAGGGAACGAACGAACGCGCGGGCCACGCAGGATAAACAAAGGTTTACATCAGTGTCAGTCGCAACAAGTCCGAATTCGTCTAGGGTTCTCGCCATGAATATTCACGGTACGCTCGCCGCTCCGCCGCCCTTCCACAGCAAACCACCCCCTCGCTCTCGCTGCTTCGGTCCGTTTCCCGACCCCTCGTGCTCCCTCCTCTTCCCCCCCCCCATCCCCAGCTCACTCTCCGCGTCCACATCAGCTCCCCGTGGCCTCGTGCCCATTTACCACCCCCTGCGATATCCATCGAACGGCCACCAGTCAAAGGCTGAAATCACAATACGCGTTTGTCCGGTTGACGAAGTCGACGGTGGGGTCGACGGTAAAGCAAATAGAACGAGAGAGAGAAAGAGAAAGGGCGGCGCATGGGCAGCGCGGGGACTCGACCAGTGGTCATTGCCTTTGAATTGGAAATTACGTTTCGGACGGCCAAGTGTCGATTTTCACCCCCCGTATTAACGGCTCTCCGCCACACTCATCGTGGAGGCGCGAGGACCTCCCCGCCTTCGCCTTCTCTCACCTTCTATTACCTTCTTGGCGAGATAGAGACTAAAAATTTCAGGGAGACGTCGCTCGATGCACGTAGCGCTTCTTCCCTTATCTTCTTTGTGTCTTTTGCAACTTTTAGTTTTTGCGGAGGCACGCGACACCAAAAGAGGAAGAGAACGATAACGAAGCAGAGTGCCGCTGCTTCGCACCCTCCTCGCTTCGAGGCCGACGAGGGAGTGCGGAGTGCAAAACCCCTTTCCGAAATCAACCCTTTCGAAGTGGTAGCTCGGTGATTCGGTGGCTCGACGGGCGCGAGTATTTCGCAGGCGCTCGAATGATTTAATCCTCGAATGATGGACGGGCACGTCGCGACGATGATCTGCGTGCCGTAAAGTGACAAGTGGTTAGGATCACGCGGAAACCTCGGTGGCTCTCCGACCGCCGCGGCGGCGGCGGCGTGTTGGTGTTGGATGAAACGGAGGCCGTCGCTCGGCCGGATGGATTTTGCGGCGGATAGAAGAGGGATAGGACACACAGAGCGGAGGGAGGGCAACAGTAGGGTTACGAGCTCTCGCACCATACAAATCATGTCGGCATTACTACGTCAGGCCTGGACTCAACTTGTCGCGCGTACCGGAAACTCGATACCGCTTCCCCGGTAATACTGATTTATCGGAAGTGCAATGGCAGGCCTAGGCTACCGGGGCGTCATCGAGCCGCGTTGCATTTTTCCCCCGCCGTCCGTGATGTAGCGCGATTTTTCCGGCTAATCGAGAATTACGGGTTCACGGGTGAACGGCGCTGATGCGAGCTCTCTCTCGTTCAGGCCGCCATCACTCGCGCGCGCTCGAAACGCACCCGAAATTTTTGCGTGAAAGCGCGATGACCGCGAGTCACGGTCCGGTACGATTTTCTCTTTATCCTCCCCCTCCCTTTTTGTCTTTTTCTTTCTTTCTGTTCTCTCTTTAATACGACTTGGATGTCCTACCTTTCGAGATGTTTGACAATATCTTCGTAGGCAGCTCGGCAGTTTTCCCAAACCGTCCCGGACCTGTGGAGCACAAAAACAAAAGGCGGTTACGACACGAACAAAAATGGAAAAGAAAGCCTAAGCTTCGGCCGGAAACGGCGACCAAACCAAAAGGGAAACGAGAAAGGAGAAACGCGTCGTTCCGCGACCGTGGTAGAAGTCGCATAAGTCGCGAGGCGGCCTCCTGGCTGAAGGATACGCCTGATTAAGAGTCCTCGTCCCGTCCCACTTCTCTCGGCTATTCCGCCGCGATTCCGCCGTTGCCGAACGCACCGAGAATGAAGTGCCTTTGATGTCGCTGATTAAAAAAGAGATGTCAGCCCGGCAGGAGCGGAGTTAATTTGTGACCTAGGATCGTGCCGGTCGCGGAAAGAAAAAAAAAAAAAAAAAGAGATGAAGAAGCGAATAAGTTAATCAGAGGGGATCGAATCTTCGTTTGCGCAATACGAAAACGGAACGGAAATCAAGTGTCCTAAAAATGCTCATCCAAATACAGCACCCTGAAGAAAAGTTCCGAAGTCTAATGTCAATGCGCCTGACACGGTTTCCAAGGTTTCCAGCGTTGATAATTCGCTTTAATTTGAACGACGGGAAACGGATCGCGATGGAGAAAAGCGAGGAATAGACGGATAGGAAAGCCGTACGTGTGCCATCCGTGGAAACTGGTCGAAGAGATCAGGCGGAAGAGGGGGGGATGGAAGGCCGGAGGGCGAGGAAAACGGACGGTGGAAAGAAGGAGATACGGCGAGTTTAAGGGGATGGCGATGAGGCAGGACAGTGATGAGGGGGACGTCGAAGGGACGCGGTGACGGCGGTGGCGTCGGTGTCCCAGGATGGGGTTGCGTTGAATTAATCATATTCCGGTGTTTGTCGTGGCGCCCCCAGACGTAATCCGTCTTACCTCCCGATCTCTCTCGCTCGCTCGCTCCTCCGTCGCGATAGATTTGCATTTTAATTAAAAGCAAAGCGCTGAAATCATAATGCGAAACGTGCGGCGCCGCCTTCGCCGTGTCATTATATACGCTCGCGCGTGTGCGTGTACGCGCGTCCGCTGGCACATACACACATACATATATACACACATATGTACACACACACACACACACACATATTTCTCGCACGTTGCTCATGGACTCACGTTTCGTCGTTAAGAGAGATTGAGACGCGTTAAAAATCCAGAGCGCGGGGGCTCCACATTAAGAATCTCACTCAGCGCTGTCACGAGCTCACGTTCAAGGTGCGTGAGCAAGATCTGATCGGTGACGGAAAAAGTGTATTCTTTAACGTTGCGTGCTAGCTTCTCTCGTCTCTTTGTTCTCAATCGTTTCTTATCGTCCGACAATTATCCGAAAAATCATTTCCCCGCACTCGAAAGGAAGAAATAATCAAATCTCTCTGTCTGGCGTTAAGTCCCGATTTTCCGGGCGCACGCCGCCTAAAGCGAACGCTCGGGCAAAGGGGGTAACGGTTAGTAGGATGGGGCTAATTACACGGGGCGGATGTAATCGAAAATTAAGGCGAGTCTCCGTATCCTCCGAAAGCTCCGGCCGGTTACGGGAGCGTTTCGCAACGCGCGGCGAGCGGGAACGTACCGAGAGCATCTATTAGAAACGCGTTAACAAATGCCGGGATTAGTCTCGCGTCTACCCCCTCGAGCGAAGGACGAGGATGTTGCTCTCCTTTCCCTCTCTTTATCTATTCTCTCCCTTTATCCCTCTCACTTCTCCTCGGTTCTTCGTGGCTCTCCGCACGCTCTCCACGAGGCCGAATAAGCCGCGATATTCGTCTTGGGACCGCGCGTAACGCGGCGAGGATTTGCCGCCCCAAGGAGGCCTCCGCGTCTTCAAAGATGGCCTAGCGCCGCAAGAGGGTAGATCTAAACGCTAGTTCTCAAGGTCGATCCGAATCATGAATAATAACGCGATACGAAATAACGCGTCTTTGAGACGGCGCGAGAGATTCATGTTTTCATAATCGCAAGATTCAGTGATTTTTTCCAATTATTTTTGGAAACGAATGTACCCTGCGTACAATTGAATAGTTTCATGATTAAAAGTTAAAATTCAATAAATTTACTCGCTTGATTGTAGGTATACAATCCCAGGAAATGAGATTAATCATCGACAGGTTGGTGCGCATTATAGTAGAACGTAATTCAAGCCGAGTAAATGACGGGCGTCTAAGAAAGTGAAATCGAAGTAAGACGCGAAGACAAAAGAAGGAGATCCGAAAGCAACGAGCAGAGGTGCAAAAAGGAGGAAAAGATCAAGCGGTGTCAAGACCCCTCGGATTTCCACGGCTTCGCTGTCTCTTCCAATCCTCTTAAAGTCGTATTCTTTTGGCCTCGCCGGTCGGAGATCGTGTGAGAAACTCAAAACAGATAAATCCAATTTTCGAAGGAGGTGTCGATTTGTGCGAAAGCAAAGAATACAAAGCTGAAATCAAAGCGTGGAACTCGAGATTGTAATTTTTGATATCGAAGTAGGAGTTTCTCTTTCTCGTCGAACTATCGTGCTACCTCTCTTCTATTTACCATCTCGTCCGGTACGACTTGTCCCCGGCTCGTAAACCACCGCGGAGGAAGTTAATGAAAATGTTTCCCGCTGCGAGAAAGCGCAGCTTCCGGAATATCGTCGCTCGCGCTCGAGAGCGACCGCTCGCGGTCTCTCGTCGCCTCTAACACGACGAGAGATAAGCCGGGAAAAGGAAGGGAGAAGACTCACCTCGCGAGGGCTTCCATGTTGGTCATATTCGGGTTGACCTTGAGACCCTGCTCGGCGCGAGCCTGTGCCTGCGCCTGCAGGTGATGCGGCAGACTGGCCGGTGACAGGATGGCGGTGTGTCCTGCACCTGGATGCCCGCCGAGCTGCATGAACTGCATGTGGCTCAGGTGCGTGGGTGGGTGATTGTATCCATTCGCCAGAAGCGGTGACTTCTCCATCCTTGGTACGTCTGCAAGCAGAGAATAAGCGCGCGTTTAAGATCATACTGTTATCATATGCCATTGCATGAGTAACGCACGCGAAACGTGATACGTATTATAATCATATACCCTCCCTCTCTCCCTCCGGGCTGACACGAAGAAACTGCGTAAATTCAATTATCGATCATCCTCCG